ACACGGGCGAATGAGATTAATCGTCTTTTAGTACTTTTACTTTGACCCGTGCCGTATCCGTGCCTACCCGCCTACCTCACATCCAACACGAATAGGATTGATATCACGTCCCTCCAGTACTACCTCCCTAAGTTCTACATGCCGCTGAGCTATTAAGGAATCGTGAAATAATTATTCCGACAGGTTCGTGCCTTTGAATGGGTTCACTTTACTTTGTCTGGGATGAGACCGGACAAACTCAACCTCGTTTAAAGCAGGTTTTATCTTTTCAATTTCTTTGCTATTATTTGGGCGGAGGTTGTGAAGTGGCAGGTGGCGCACTACCTTTCATGACGGTCACGGGTTCGAATCCCGGACCGGTATCCGTCTATGCTTATCAAGCCTCCCATAGCTCTAGGGTCGATTAAATGGTGCCAAACTCGTCTGGGAGGAGAAAGGCAGTGACCACCGGCTGGTCAAAGCCAGTCGTTGTGTAGGCCACGTACACATTCAATACGCCACCATGACTCTGAAGGAAGTCGAATGCGTGGGCGCATCCCGCAGAAGGGATCATTTAATGTCCCAAAACTTTTTTTTCTCTCCTGGCTGTTATTCGTCCTCACTAAGCTCATCTCATGGAATACTTCACAGCTATGTTTGACAAACGCGAAAGGGCTCGATGTCGATTGTGAAGTAGCTAAAAGTCGTCTCGTGTTTTTTCTACTTTGAGTGGGCTAAACGTCACCAAGAACTGCTCATTTGAGCCTATTCATGCAGTACATTCCGGTCTACATCTCAACTGTGGTTCTTTTCAGGAAGTAGAAGACTCTTTCTCATACTTTGATGTGGTTCCATAAAGTCCTCCACTTCTTCTAAAAAAACGGCTGCTTTCCGTGCTCAAACCTCATTTGCGACTGCACCATGAGCACGATGCTCCGATTTTATGCGAGCATTATGTCACAGAATTTCCTCGTTCAAATAAATGAAGGTAATCCAAAGCCCAGAAAGTTATTTTTTTCCAGTGCATTCGTACTAGGCGCCAAGTTGGCGAAAAACAACCAAACATTACTAGACTTGGTGAACGAGAACATTTGCTCAAAGACCCCTCTGCCATGTTTTATAGCAAGTTCTTCAGGGAGAGTTAGAAAATTTATTGTTAGATTCCTCGATGTTCTGCGGCTGTGAGCCGATGGGCATCACTCACTGCGGACGGGAGAAATTCATCAAGCAGCTTGAGTGCACTATGTCCCACTTGCACATCCCACTGCCAAGAAGCAGAAAGAGATAGATTCAGTGGAAGACAGTAGAAGGCTTTAGTGAAGGACGGTCAAATATTTTTTGCTGAGAAATGGTGTTGAAGTGCTCTTCTTTCTACAACCAATTTGTCCACATGAATGATTCAAAATAGTCGAAATGAGTTCACACGGATCGAGTACCCATCCTACATATCTGGCATCTACGACAGTCTTCTCGTCTGCATCCTTGCATTTATCGTAAACTGCCATCATGCAACGTACGTGAACAGTAAAGATTCCACTAATCCTAACATCACAAGGAGTAGATTGGTGTCTGGATATACTCCGTTAGTGACACCATTGAGAGCGAAGGAACAAGTAGGACACCTTGATAATTTATTAGGTTGATGCATAAGCTCTTTCTCCGGACTTTTTGGAAATATCTCGTAGCGCCAGCTTGAGGTTCACAAGTATGCACCGTCATCATCCACTACCTGACGACAACGCTCAGGCAGCCTGTCGATTCCATACTACCAGAACGAGGGGGCTGGGGTTGAAGGAGCCACCGAGTGCCTTCTGACCTCATC